TAGACCTTGAGATAATCCTAAGAACATTTTACATCTAAATTATATATCATGATAAAATTTGAAGGTGCAGCTTACCTCTACAGCTACGGATGCATCCGTATGCCAACTGCACCCTTTCTTAAATGACTATTAGGTTTTTAAGGTTTTTTTAGGGATTTACAGTAAAAGTGTCATTATGAATTTTGTTTTAACTAGGACTTTTATTTCAATTAGTATTACGATTTCTTGGTTTTATGTTAGGTATTTTATTATAAATAGGGCTTTTATTAAGGTTTTAATTTAGAGTCGAATTTGGGATGTTATTTCTGGTTTAACCAATGCAGAGTTATTGAAGCCTGGCTTGTAGGCTTCCTCCTTAATTTTCTAATCAATATATTATTTGATCATCTTCCCTGAACTTTCTTTCTGCATTAGTTGGTGTTAGAGCTTGAACTTTTTTGGGTTGCATTAGCATATATCAGAGCAGGCACCTTCCCAAAGCGTTTTGAGGATCCGTTGCGAGTTTGCGTGATGCCTGCTGCCTGCTAGAGGAGGTGGAGTTTGTTTTCGTGCTGGTGAGAAAATTACATGGGAGGAATTCAATGATCTCAAGAAGAAAGTTGAGGAACTGACATATGAGGTATGTAAAAAATGTTCGAATCAAAAGAGGTTGGAGGAGATGGTGCATCAGGTGTACCCCACTTGCCTTGAATGACATTGGAGTTCTGGTCATTTGGTGCTGTAGAAAGGTTTGACTTTTGCGAATTGGAGAAATTTTGGTAAAAAATTGTTGGTGTTTGGGATCTGGATGGTGGGGATGAAACAGGAGGATCCACCTGGGCAGTCGATGAGGAAGGGTGTGATAGGTGTATAGCTTGGATTTGGGGGGACTTAGAGGACTGCTTTCCAAGTACTGATGTCTTTGGTGTCTTAGAGCATGTATGATTGAATCCCTCTATTGGCATGCATGTTTAAGAAGGTTAATTTGCTGGTGTAGAAAGGACCTGACATTTACAAAGGATAGGGTGTTTGGTCCTGTCTTAGATTCCTTCTTTTACTTTGTATTTTCATTCTTTTACTTTATTTTCCCTGGATATCAATATTCTCTTACGTGTCGTGAAATCATGTTTAAGACATTATAGTTTTCTCTATTTAATGTGATTAGTTGATGTGCGCAAGATATACTTGTGGCATTTACTTATTGGGAAAAGTTTATATAAGCAACCTTACTTGTAGAAGTAAGGTTGCATTAATCTACACTGTCTATTTTATTTGCATGATTTAGATTTGACATTGTCTCAAAAGATGTGCCACTTTTTGACACTGCCTTAAAAGGTGTGTTAAATCTACACCCTCCAACCAAAATGGACAGTGCAGACATTGCAACCTTACCTCTAGAAAGTTGCATCCTTCTACAAACTGCACGCTTATTTATATCTGGCTGGTAATTTAGTTTTACTTGATGGTTCATACTTGATGTGTGCATGATTTTCAATGTTATCTTTGCAGACAAATATGATAAAGGAAAGCATTAGGATGGGATACAATGACTTTGGAGACTTCCACTATGCTCGTGGTTTGCTAGGGGATGCTTTTAAGAATTATGTTCGTACTCGAGATTATTGTACCACATCGAAGCACATAATCCAGATGTGTTTGAATGTGATTTTGGTTAGCATTGAGACAGGCCAGTTTATGCATGTCACAAATTATGTCAACAAAGCAGAACAAACTCCAGAATTGCAGGATCCTATTATAACTGCGAAACTAAAATGTGCCGCAGGATTGGCTCATTTGGAGGCAAAGAAATATAAACCTGCTGCTCGCAAGGTATACTTGATTAACATTCTTTTTAATCTTTTAAACATACAGTTATGCTTGTTTTGTAAAACCTAAAACTTTTAAGGGGTTGGTGCCATTCAGTTATGAAAATGGTTCTTTGGTTTCTATTTTTGTATGCTCTGGGTTCTTACAATGTAATGAAAAAGAGATTTTTGAGTGAAATGTTCGTAGCTCTGGCATTTGGTAGCAGCAAGGTTCTTTTCATATTTTCAATTGAAAGTACATTAAAAAAATTTCTAACTGTGGAACAAAATTAAGAGCAGAATAATAGATTTGCTCTGTATTTATCATGGCCATATACTCGTCTGTCATATATTGTTGTGGCAAATTGTCTTGTCTGTGAAAGAACTAGTTGTACTGTTTTTTGGCAGATAAGAAATAATTGTGTTTATTTTAAAGCAGAACGGATGCATATTTTAACATATCTTTTATAGTTTACATTTCATGATACTTCATGGTTGTTGATTTTTTTAATGATATATCACATATCTGAAATTTTTACATCTATTTATTCTTTAATTGCATGCACATAGATGTAAGTGTCTATCTACTTATATTATGTATCATGTATACATATATGTATGCATGGATGGATTGTATGTATACTTATATATATGTATGTCGTTAGTGTACTCATATATATAAGTATTTCCTTAATGCGCTCAACATTTTTGGACACTTAATACCTTACACCCCCATGCAGTAACTTTTTGTCTAGGCTACTTTAGATAATTAGTCACGGGTAAAGTATAAATTCATGATATAAAGAGAAGCATTTATTAACTATAGTGAAGGATGACGTTATCCACATGCAGTGTGACAACACCCACATGGAGCAATGATTGCTCCTTAACCAGTAGTAAATGGCATTAGTTTCTTATCAAAATATAATCCTACCCCTTCTAATGATGAAAAATGGCCTTATTCAAAAAAAATTTATACTACAAAACAAGGGCAATGAGTGTCAAAAAATGTCGAATACATTAAGGAAATACCCATAAGTATGAATACCCTAACACACACATATTGTGTGTCTGCACCCCCCTTGACCATAATTTCATGCTATGATCAACCCTAATACTTTTTAAACCACACCACTAACACCAAAACTTCTTATTTTGCATCTACCCGCCAAAGTAAGAAATTAGTTTTTTAATGGCAAAAAAGCCATGTGTGTAACCCCAAGTCCTTTTCCCATCCCTTCACTCTCTCTCAAGGCTTTCAAATTTTTAAAGAGTCTCTCTAAAAACTTGAAATTTGAGATAACATAATTTGATATAGTTTTTCTCTCAAAAAAAGTTTGAGGTTCTCTCTGAAATTTGACGTAGTTCCTCTCTCTAAAAATTTTGAGATAGTTTCTCACTCTAAAAATTTAAATTAAAAATTTAAATTTTGAGAGAGATTCTTTCTCAAATTTTTTTGAGATAGTTTCTCTCTCTAAAACTTCAAATTTCAAGTTAAAAATTATCTTACATGAGGGTATTTTAGAAGTTTGTAGCTAACACAGAGTATGGACTAGTGGATTTTGTGGAAGATGAAGCTAGGGATCTCCTCCATTGTCTTCAATGGCCTTGGGACATTGGTGCGGGGGTGTTGTTTGGTGGTGAGCATGTGTCCTGTCCCAGAAACGGGCATATTTGGGTTCCAAAAACCATTCGAGGTGATCTGTCTACTATAAGGAGTGTATCCAACTTTGACATCTTGAAGTGCAACGCTTGTATTTGGACATTAGTCACCTGCTGTATAGTTCCAAAATATCCTACGGTAGCTCAGAGATGCATTTATATGTGGCAGGATGTTTTGGATCTATCTGAAATTTTGACTCTCTCGTAAAACTACTAGATGAATGTTGATGCGTTGACATCACAATTTGGCCTTGTAAATTAACTGAGAAGAAGGCAACGCACCATTAACTCTGCTTGAAAGGGCAAAACTTGTATGGACCTTTAATGTGTTTTGGAATAAATTTGGGCATGTTAATTTGATAGCAATTCATTATATACATACTGAAAATATGAATGGACCACCATTTTAAGAGCAAGTGTTAGGATCTTGCAGACATGGTTGGCTACTTGGCTATATTGCTTTGATTCTTGAAGATATGTGACTTGTTAACGAGCTGCATGGATGTGCTTTGTTACAAGATCTGGTTCTTCTAATGCACGAAGACCTGTATAATTGGGTGCCTTTTGATGTGATTGCAGTTTCTCGAAACAGGCCCTGAACTTGGTAATAATTATACGGAAGTGATCGCTCCACAAGATGTTGCCACTTATGGTGGGCTCTGTGCACTTGCATGTTTTGACCGTACGGAACTTAAGGTGCATACATAAATTGCAGAATTTAATCTTGACGCATATATTTGACACATTATCAAGCTGAATACTGATAAACCAGATGTGTCCTTCTTCCTATTGCCTCTTTGACTATTGACAGAATAAAGTTATAGACAATATCAACTTTCGAAATTTCTTAGAACTGGTTCCTGAAGTGAGGGAGCTCATACATGACTTTTATGCAAGGTAGATCCACTTTCTTTTTGGGTGCTGCTTAGAAGAAGTGCTCTTTATTTGTTTGAACCCATAATTTGCATCTTAGCAATAGTTTTCATCATATGCCCTTCCCCATCCACGTGCTTCTTCAGGGATTGTTTTTTATTTCTCACGCACACAAGGCATATTCCCAGGTTGGGGGTGGTTTCGAAGGGGAGAGGGGGCATCCTTTTCATGTTATTGCGTGTGAATACTCCCTATTTTCTTTATACTATAGCTCCTCTGTATTATGGAAAACCATAGGCCACTGGGATCATCACTGTAGAATGAAGTGACTATTGGTGATGAGGGAGGGAGTTGGACTTACCAGGGAGTTGGACTTACCATTGGGGTATGTCCTAAGGCACACTCCCCCTCCATTACTGTCCATGATTCCATTGGATGGGACTGTTCCAGTGGATTGTTGTCTTCTTTTATAGTATGCTTTCCATTTTTTTATGAACTGTAACACAATATTACATTTCTAACATTCTGACCGTGTTCTACTCTGTAGCCGTTATGCCTCCTGCCTAGAGTATCTTGAGAATCTCAAACCGAACCTTTTACTGGATATCCATCTCTATGATCATGTGGAAACACTCTATGAACAAATTCGCCATAAAGCAATTATTCAATACACACTCCCATTCATTTCTGTTGACCTCCGTACTATGGCTAGTGCCTTTAAGACAACTGTTGCTGGGCTGGAAAAAGAACTCGAGGCCTTGATCACTGATAACCAAATTCAGGTATGGGTTTTCTCTAATTCTCCTTTCTAGAGGTTTGATTTGACACAATAACAAATGAATATCCCTAGATATTTGAAATTTCACTTTTGTGGTATATGAAAGAACGATTAAAAATAAGAAGCAAAAAGGAATTGCACAAATAGAAAAATTTTGCTCACTGTGCGATCAATGATGTTGACCCTCGTTTCACCATTCCACTTTATTATACCCTTAGTTAGAACTTTAGTTACTATTTCTTTCTTCACTACTTTCATCCATATTTTTTGGGGCATTTTTCTTGTCCTTTTAGAGCCTTCCACTTGTACTCCTAAGTGGTGCTATTCTAGAAAATAAGAGTGAAAAAGATTCATGTTGCAGTAGTTAGAGAAGCGGCCTTCAAGTGCTACATTGCACCTCTTCTTAGCCTGCCATGTCCAATGTTTTCATGTTTCTTTAAAATTATCCATTCAATAAGGTATACTGTTCCTTTTATTGCAAGGACTTGTGCTTTATTTGGGACATATTTTGTGCAATGGCAACAATTTGTGTGTGTGTGTGTGGAAATGACTCTGGAACATTTACAGGCCCGCATTGATTCACACAACAAAATTCTCTACGCTCGACATGCTGACCAAAGGAATGCCACATTCCAACGTGTTCTGCAAACTGGTGTTGAATTTGATAGGGATGTACGTGCCATGTTGCTGAGAGCCAATCTAGTGAAGCATGAATATATTCAGAGAAACTCAAGAAAAAACTGATCCAATGAGTGCTATAGTTCCATTACTTTCCAATAGACCGTAAATCCAAGAAACCCCTTTGTCTATAAAATGTACTGTATGGTCAACATGGGAGATCACTTTTTTTGCCCAAGAGGGAATGAGACCTGAGTTCACACAGAAAGGTGCTCATCTTCTATATCATTGACTTCCTGGAAAGAAGAAACTTCTCTCTAGACAAAATTCGAGTTTGGTCATCGGTTACAGGATCGAAACTTGATGATTTTGAGATACAGTCTCTTAGGCGGGAGCCTTCTTCCATATACAGTTCTCTTCCTTTCTGTAAAGTTTTCCCTTGTGCTCTGTTCATGCTTATCATAGGGCTCTTTTTGATGCCTTTCCGAGATATTTCTATTATTATCAGCTGCATTTGGAGCTTGAGATCGACAATGCTTGTAACGAAGATTTGGTCAAGATCTGCAACTATAAGGTTCAGTTGTTACTGGTTGTTTGAAGTTCTGAGGGGTGTGTCATGCTATTGATTTTTTCTGCTGAATTATTTTGCATTCTTACAATGTCTAGACATCGGCCTTTTCTCTTTTTGTTTTTGTGATTGGGAGATGTGATTAATGATGGCAATGGGCCAGGGCCTGGCGCAGCCCAGTCGGCCTCGCCCAAAAAAAATACTAGGGTGGCCCAAGGGCTAGGCCAGGGCCTGGCCATCATGGCTTTGGCTCGTTTTTTGTTCTCTCTTTCCCTTTATTTTTGGTTGATTTTATTTGGCTCGGCCCGGTCCTCATACGGTTAGGGCCGGGCTTGGGCCAAGACCTCTTTAGCTTGGTTAGGGCAGGGCCAGGCTTGGGCTGGCCGTTTGGGGACTAGGGTCGAGCTAGGGCTAAGGGTAAGCCGGCCCAGGCCCAGCCCATTGCTAGTCGTGATCTTTGGATTGAACTATTTTGAGGGGATAAAATATCAATAAAATGGTCAGAGGTGGTTAATCAACTAAATTACCAACAAAACTGTTAGTTTTAAAAATCTTTACTCTTGGGCAACTCGTCTACTATCTTGTTAAAAATGCCCCAACTGCCCTTGTTACAGGAGACTTGAAATTGAGGGTATTTTTGTTATTTAGCTCGCGTAAATTACTTGAGTTAAATGACCTAGATAACCATAACAGCAAGTGTTTTTTAATTTTTCCTTAAAATATGTTGTTCCTAGTTTGGAACTCGGAATTAGTGGTATTTAAATCAGTTGGCTGGTGGCCAGAGTATGAAAATGTCATTGTGATGTGGGGTTCCTAAACCCATAACATGGCTTTTTATGGGAGAAAACATGTTTCGAGTTTGAGAGACAAAATAAACAGGGGCATTAGGTCATTCGACTTAAGTGAGTAATTAGGGTTATAAGCCTAGAACATGGGCAATATGAGCATCTTCTACAAAATACCAAAGCAAAAGGTTTTTAAAAGTGATCACTTTACTGGTAAATTGGTTGATTTCAAATTTTGATTTTCATTGTGATTTGGCCACTTTGTTTGAAAAATTTGAATCCACCCAAGTGGAATCGGTATCGAGAGGTGTGCTTGGTTTAAGGAGCCTTCGAATCGCCTCGATTCTCATGGTTTACTATTTCTCTAAAATTTAGTTTTAGACATATGCTTTGAATTGGGCGATTTGGATCTAAATCAACAATCTGCCTAGGTTTTCAGGGGAGACCGTTTGAATTTTTAAAAAACTGATTCTAACAATATTTTTGGGAATTGTATTACTCCAAGGTGGTCACAATTAATCTTGACCATTGGTCACAATTAATTTTTCCAAACAAAAGTTCATCAAATTTTATAACATCCAAGCTATCAAATTTCACATCAGATGGTTATAAGTAGCTGTGACCTCTTTATATTAAAGGTAAATGGTCTCGTCATATACAATTTTCAAAAATATTGTTGAAAATTAAATTTTACATCGAATGATTATAAGTAATTGTGACCTCCTTGTACCAACGATAAACAATCTTATTGTATACTTTTTCATAGTTTTGAAGTCAATAACGATACATGGAAAAGATGTGGACTCACGAACCCAAAGTGACTGATTCAGAAATTGCCAATTTTCTTGCATGAGTGTGTTAAAACATTTGTCACAGGTGGACAATATCATTAAAACAAGGGAAAAGTTTATACAGAGTCGAGGCTCTAAACAATCAAATTTAAGCCTACCTCAAAACTTTCATTAGAAGATGTTTTGATGCACAAATATCCTCAAATTGATCATCTTGACATCAAGATGCATGGACATGAGAAAAAAAAATAGATTTCAAGTTTTAGAAATAGTGTATTCTATGACATATTTTTGGACTGTCTATTTTCAAGATTTTCAAGTTTTCATAGATCTGTCGATCTACACTATTTTTGAAGCTTTAAATTTTATAAATAAAAATAAAATATATTTGAAGGCTATCACAAAGATTTTCAGTATTGAAACCACATTTTTGGACATTCGTTTAAGGTATTCTAATTTGATTGTTTAGAGCCGAGGCTCTATACAAACCACACGCAACAAACAATTAAATAGAAATTATTTGGAGTAAACTAATGGATTAAAATTGATAGAATTTTTATTTATTGTTTTTAAGTTCTTTGAAAGTTGAAAGCATATTTATTTATTTATTTATTTTTAACAATAAGCTGAAAGCATATTTGTTAAGCCATGATCTTGGGCTTTGGTTCATTATAATTTAATGAAGAATTTCAACCATGCTTGTAAGATTGCATGGCAACAACGCAACAAAGATCTGGCCAATGATTGGGAGATCATTTTTCTTAGAGTAAAATAATTATTGGGTCTAGGATTGTATGTCAATAGACTAAAATTACAATTCTATCTGGCAGATATGAAATTGAGCAGTTATGTATATGTTATTTTTAGAAGTTTGACACGTTTTCTCGAACCTTAAAGGTCGTTGTTGTCACCACCCCATCTCTTTGATACTTGGGAAGATGATAAATTAGGCAGTTTGGGGCTGTGACATTTTTCACCTGATCTCACATTTGATAGCTAGGGAAGATGTTAAATTGGGCAGTTGGGGTTGTGACATTTTCCACATGAAGTCTTAGAAGAATTTTTTTGGATTTAGAGAGCAATTCGTGGTGCCTTCCAAGCCACTAGATTTCATATTTAACAGCTATTTATGATTCATCCATCTTTAACCAAAGGTAAATACTCTTATTTGATACTTTCATATAATTATTAGTAAAACTAAGCTTATATACAGCCTGGTATACAATCAAAGTAAAGCGCACCTTTAAACAATGCCAAAATATTTTGTTTCACTATCAGAAATCTTTGTGATGACCTGAAATTTTATTTTTATCTCTAATTATAAAATTTAAAGATTAATAATTTATCGAAAATTTATCGAAAAAGATTAAAATTTATCGAAACTTGAAATCTATTTTTTCTCATGTTCATACATCCCGAAGTCTAGATGATCAAATTGAGGATTTATTTAGCATCAAAACGCCATCTTCTAGTGAATTTTTGAGGCATGCTTTAATTTGATTGTTTAGGGCCTCACTCTTACATGACCTTTTTCCAAATATATAAGATGGTTGCACATAAAAGTTTGCAAAAGAGTTTTGGCCCTTGATAGAGTGAGATACTAAATTTTAACTAACGATTCTAAAATTATCTTAGGCTGTTCAATGTTGGGTTTGCACGATTGTCCCATTTGCAAACCTACCCGCAAAAGAAAAAACTTCGTATATTAAGGAAAGAGAAAAATCGAGGTGAATGAAAAAGTTTATGTAAGGTTTTAACCTTATCATGTAGACCTACGGATACACTTCAAAAATCCATCGGAAAATGTAGTTTTAATATTGAAAATCCCTTTGATTGATCATCTCGACATCGAGATGTCTGAACATGAAAAATATAAGATTTTTAAGTCTCAGAAATAGTGCATTGTACAACATACTATCTGAACCGTCCATTTTCAAGATTTTCATATGTTTATAGATCTACTTGATTTTAACTATTTTTTAAATTAAAAAATTTATAATTAGATATAAAAATAGATTTTGAGATAATCTTGAGAACATTTTACATCAAAATTATATACCATGAAAAAAATTTGAAGGCGCACCTTACCTCTAGCGCTACAGATGCATCTGTATGCCAACTGCACCATTTTTTTTTTTTCGAGTAAATCGAGGCGGAATTACCGAATGAAGAGTATTTGGTGGGTCGGCCAACTCGTGCATATGTTTGGTTTTGAGGAATTTAGGACCCGAAACACTTCCTAAATAACTTTTTCTTTATTTTGAACTTATGGGTTTTCAAAAAATAGTGTAAATCTGGGTGGTTTTTTTAAGAATGTGAAGGAATGGTCTAAAAATATATACAATAAACTACCTTTAGAGCTCAAATTTTTTTTTTTTTTGATTCACGATCGTGGTAGCAGAGACTAGAGACCTGTATAATTTCGGATCCAAATTCAAATTCCAAGATCGACTTTAAGATGTGGAAATGAACCAAAACCCTAACCATTGATTAAATTGATGAATAATTGTATAAATTAGCATTGAGCAAGCTTAGATTTGGAACTTAAAGGCCATATATTTCTAGCCTTGCAGTCTGTCATTTTCTAAAATTACTTTTCTTTTTGGAAATTTCAGCATAGTGCTCTTGACTTTTTTTGTCATCCTGATAAAGTTGACAATATGGTTTAATATTAGTTGAAAAAGATAGAAAGATAACAAAATAAGATTATAATTAAGTAAACTATGGTATTGGATAGCCACTGTTAAAGAGGTTCTTGGTAAACAAGTATGATGCATCATAAAAAATTGAGAAGGCTTTATCATTTCTCAAGGACTATTGGATTTCCATGGACAATTGGCATCCCTCCAGCCTCTCTCTCAAAGAGTAAAAAGGAGGTCTCTTTCTTTCACTTAAAAATCCGTCTCGTCCCTCTTTAACTTAAAAGTTAAGGATGAAGTTTCTATAGGGCCTAGATTTTATGAAAACAAAATAAAGCCTCATATTAAATCCTCATTTGAAAAATACGTTCGGCAACATAAATCTTCATGATGGCTCTAAAATCAATTTTCAACATCGATTAAACTTTGAAATTCAAAAAATGATACAAATCTTGCAGATCTTTGAACATTATCTTTAAGGTGAAATGAATAGTCTATAATTTGTTGCAATATACACTATATTTGGAGTTTGATATCATAATGTTCAAGCTGAGATGATCGATATAAAGATTTCTAATGCAATCCTGTCAAACCATTTTCCAAGAGTATAATATGAAGAGTTTCAGGTTTCTTTGAAAATACTCAGTGTCCATTAATCGTATGAATATACAGACTTGTCATGTATAGACAAATTACATATGACAAAATATAAAAAATAAATCACAAACACCTATACCCAGACTTGTCATAAAATACAGACAACATAAGTAATGATCATATGAGACTCTCCCATACCTATGTGTGTAGGACCCCAAAGGATCACCGCTAAATTTGGCACAGAACTCCAAACAAGTTATCACATGGATG